AAAAATTGCTTAAGCAATAAGGACACATTATTATCTCATAAAGCAAGCCTGCCGAGTCAGGTATCTCCAGGCTTATTGAGTTGAATGGATCAATAACATCACTAGAGATCAGGTCATTCCCAACTTTCTGCTGCACCATCCTCAGAACACCAGCTCTGTCTTACAATCCATCTGCTCTAAAAATCCCAAGATAACAGCAACAGGAAGGAGCCTATGGAGTGGAAAGGGAAGGAAAGAAGGTGTCAGGTCCATAGAAAACTCCATTTCCCTAAATTCTGCCAGTTAGACATTCCTCAGGACCTTGTGAAGCTGGTTCCCCTCCACCAAAGGAGCCATTTCCCTTGTCACTGGCAGAAGGGACAAATGGCTACCTGAGGTGTCTATTAGATACCAAAGCTCACGCTGGCCTCCAGGGTCCCTCAGTATCACAAGTACCTGTTACACATTTCAGAGTCCGTGCTGGAGTCCTGGAGCTGCTCAGCTCTTCTCACCCAAACCCTTACCTTAAACCTCTCCAGCTCAAGAGCCCCACCCCACCCCCGCCAGCTACTCATTTCTCCTTATAACCCTGCTATTTCTGCACTCTCTCACATTCTCTCTCTCTCTCTCTCTCTCTCTCTCTCTCTCTCTCTCTCTCTATCTATCTATCTATCTCTCTATCTCTCTCTCTCTTTCTCTCTCTCTCTCCTCTCTTGGTCCTTTCTTTGTCTCCCTCTTATGCTCTTCCCCCCTCTATTCCCTTCTTTATCCTCTCACAGCCAAGTCCACTCTGCTAGCCATTTTCACCCTGCTACTTTCTCTCTCTGCTCTGGATTCTTTCAGATGCCTCTGGCTGTTCTCTCTCCAATATCTACAATTTAAAAAACAAACAACAACAAAAAAAAACCTCCACTCAACCACGCCTTGGAGTGGTCATGACATCAGTTTATACATCTGGTGGCAAAACCCTCAGTTTATACAGAGGTAAATGTGGAGTAAAGGAATGATGGGTGAAGAAAGAATAGAAAAGAAGGAAGGAGCAAAGGAGGGAAGGAGGAAGGATGGGAGGAAGAAAGGAAAAAAAGAAAATATACTTAGGTAGGGTTGTTCATACCTGTAATCCCACTGCACAGGAGTTAGACTCAAGAGCATTATAACTCATGGCCAGGCTGGGCTACATAGCAAGACATATTATCAAGATATACCAACCTTGAGTAAGAGCTCAAAGAAATCAAAGTTAGCACACATTAAAGATACCTGCACATAAATGCTTATTGTAGAACTCTTCACAATAGCCAAGTTGTGGAATCAGCCTGTGTGTTCACTAACAGATACACGGATAAAATCAACTTGGTTATATATGCAATGGAGTGCTATTCAGCCATAATGATGACAGACATCATATCATTCACCATAAAGTACATGGAACTGTACATTGTGTTAAGCCAGGAACAGAAAGACACATATTGAATGTTTCCCTCTAATGCAGGATCTAGACCTTAGTTCCCAAGGGAAGAATGTCTGTGGCAGGAAGGCCATTAATAAGGGACCAGAAAATAGACTCCATCCGAAGTGCTAGCAGCAGGATGCTGGAATCTGAGACTACAGAACTACAGAGACGCTGGGTGACTGTTCTCCAAACGGGTTCTAAAAGGTAATTCACTGGGTATTTTATTTTTTCTTTTGCTCCTAATGTTAGACAATAAAGTAATTATTTTAAAAATTCTCTTTGATACATAAAGTATCAAAGTGCTGCTGTTTGGGATAAAGTGAGCAAGCAATACAGTAAGTAGAGATCAGATGTGTTCATGACTCAATGTCTTATTCAGCTGAACACTGATAATCACCATATGGTTTGATCATAATAGTTTTAAATTGTTTTTCTTCTTAGTCATAGTGTCATTTATGCTCTTGTGGACTGATGATTACAAGCACAAAGAATGAGGAACACTCATTTTAGAACACAAGACGGTTAATGAGGAGCATAAAATAATCAGAGTTCTGAGTACTGGCCCTGAAAATGATCTGCATGCATCTTGTTAACTCCTAATCTTCTCATCAGAATGCTTATTTTATAAATGTAACAGACTCTAGGACAACAAGAGGCAGCTATTTAAAAAGCAAACTTCTGGCTGGGCGGTGGTGGCACACGCCTTTAATCCCAGCACTCGGGAGGCAGAGCCAGGTGGATCTCTGTGAGTTCGAGGCCAGCCTGGACTAC